GCAGCTCTCAGCCCCCTTTTCCCTTGAAGTGCCTGACTGATTTAACATAATGGTTCAACACTAATCAGTTGTACCCACATCTACTCTGTACGAAGATTTCTGTGTCTGAAACACAGCAGGCAGAGCCCACACTGTTGGTCTAATAAATGATGGTGCTTTTCCTTGCAGCCTTGCCTTGTTTGTGTCCTGTCCTGATTTTCACTGGAATAGACTTAGTTTTCTTCTTAGTAGCTGGTACAGTGCTGTGATTTGGATTTAATATGAAAATAATGTTGGTCACAAACTGATGTTTTGGTTGTTGTGAAGCTGTGCTTACCGCAAGTCAAGGACTTTTAAGTGTCTCATGCTCTGTCTCTGAGGAGCTGCACCAGAAACTTGGAGGGAGCACAGCCAGGAGAGCTGACCCAAACTGGCCAAAGGAATATTCCATACTGTAGGATGTCATGTTCAGTATGAAAACTAGGGTGGATGTTGGCCAGAAGGGGCTGATCACTGCTCAGGGGTGGGATGGGCATTGGTGAGCAGGTGGTGAGCAATTGTTTTGGGCATCACTTGTTGTACTGGGGGTTTATTTCTCTCTCTTTCTCCCCTTCTTTTTAATTACTATTATTATTTTTATCGATACTGTTATCATTAGCTTTATCATATTTACTGTGTTTCACTTATTAAACTGTTCTTATATCTTATCAGGAGTTTAACTTTTTGTCCTAATTCTCCTCCCCATCCCACTGGGAGAGGGAGTGAATGAGCTGCTTTGTGGTATTTACTTGCCAGCTGAGATTAAACCATGACAGTCCTTTGTCCAACACCACTATAACAAAATTGGTTCTGCTTCGTCTTTTTCTAGTTAAACTGGAAACTCCAGAGCAGAGACTCCCAAAATGTATGTGGGAGCAGAATCTGCCTTAATGCTTTTAGCAGTGCCTCTTTTATCCGTCTGTTTCATACAGAAACTGTAAGGTCTGACTTTGGGTAAATTTGAATGCAAATATTCATTGACTTTGCTTATATGTCAGGATCAGTATGCTGGCAAACTGGATGTTACAAATAATATGAGGCAGCCTTCTTCTAGCAGACCTGTAGCCCTGTTTGACTGAGGACCCTAATCTCCACAATCCCTGGATTTTGTACTCTGAGCACACTTGTAAATACACAAAATGTTACAGTTAGAGAAACTCTTTTAAATAACTTGTCTCATAGTATGTAAAATAGTTTTAATAATGAGGTTGAACTCTTTGTCACTCAAAAATACAGAAGCCTTTCTTTCTTTCTGGAGTAAAATATGATAAATAAAGACAAAGAAATTCTGGTGAATAAATTGACCTTCAAAACTGGCAGGCTTGGTAAACTGCATCTGAAAGGCTGAAGAGATAACTTGTACGTCATTGCTTAGGAATAGCAGGGCTTGGTTGCTAATGCTCTTCTAAACACTGAAATACACTCTCTTGTAATACACAGGCCGTAGTTTCAATTTATTTATTTATTTATTTTTGGGTTGGTGCTTTTAAATACTGTCTTCTCTGCACCATGGAACAAGGAGAGTGTGAAATTTTGTCATGGTAGTAAATACAGTAGTTTTTTTTTCTTCTTGGGCGTCATTTTTATACTTTCAGATACACATAGTAAAAGCTGGGCTCAGCAATTTTGAAGAGTTTGTCACAAAATCCTGAAGAAACAGGGTTTCCTTCAAATATACAAGATGAGAATACTGAAGACTTATTCTCATTAGATCTGGATCTTGCACATGAGTTGGCATGGTGTTTGGCAGGATTAAAACTATTAAAGGGTTGCCAGCAAAGGTGATCTTATGATGTGTTTATGCCAGGAAAATGGAAGGGAAGGCCAGTCTAAAGATAATTTTTGATGTATTATTTTGTTTTAATCAGTTTAGGCCTATTGTTTGACTGAGCTGGTAAACAGAAATAAAGAAAAACATAGTGTGTTTTCCACCTGTCTAGGTAGTTTACATATAGTTAATGGCAGAGGACTCATTTAGTAGGTATGTTTATAGTAAGGGTAATTTTCCTTGGTTTACTGGGATTTTGTTTTTGTATGGGATCTAGCTTTAGAGCAGGGAAGAAACTATGAAATTAATTTTGTGGGAGGGACGCATATTTTTGATAGCTTTTCATTTAGAGGAGCTGATTGGAAAATAATTTTGGGTATGATGTTCCAAAAATGAAAGTGATGACAATATACTTTCTGGAACCATTGCTTTTAAACACATGTATTCCTCTAGCTCATTAAGTCCTTATGAATTAGAAAATTAAACCTAATATTTGATGGTGTCAATGTAAAAATGTACTCTTTGGACTGCATTTATAAGCTTAAGTGCAACATGTTTCTATCATAATTCTGAACACTGGACAGTAAGAAGTCAGCATGTATGTTTGCAGTGCAGTGTATATTGCACAGCATAAAAGCTACATTTGAAACCATCTTTCAGTTCCACGGCCACAGAGGGATGTTAAATTTGTACTGTAATTGTTGATAAACTTGTTCTTCAGCTATTTAACATGATGGTGCTTATACCTTTTAAGAGGACAATAGTTGCTGAACTGAAAAGAGCAGCCTCTCAGTTAAAACAAACATAGGCACTGCTTGTGTACTTTCAGCTCAGAATAAATAGCTTGTAAATCTATTGCTAGTTATACATATTTGTATACAAATATTTGTCATTTAAGTATTTTTATGATGTACAAGAAAAGCCCATTAACAATTTATTTTTCAAGGGCTGACAGACTTTTCTCTAGTCTTCAGAAATTCCAATGCTCAAGAAATATCTTTAAGCAGTAACTCATATAAAGATAGACATATAAGTCTTGACCCTGTTGTTCAGGGATTTCTATGAAATCAGAGAGACTGTTAGTGTTATATGGCTATTTTTACTTGTTTATTCCTTTGATGTATTTGTGAAGGACACGCATTTATATATGCATGCAATAAAAATCAGCTAACTGATACCGTAAGACTGGGCTCTTCATTGAAATTCAGTTTCTTCTCTGGCTCAAATGGCACTAACAAGCAGGCCAGAGAAGTTCAAAGATGGGCCTTTGATCTTCCAAGTTGCGTGAGGTGCTTGGAGGAGTTACAGGGCACTTGCTCTCCCTACAGAGGTTGCCCCTTCTCCAGACCTATGTGGGTTCCTGTATGTGTAGAAGACTGATGAGCTCATCAGAAAGGGCAGAGGAAGAGCAAGGGCTGTCTTGGTTATAGTGCACCCTCAACACCTCTGGAAGGTTCTTTTTCTGTGGATGCCAAGTCTGTCAAGCTTCTGCCTGCTGTTATGTTAGTGGGTGGCAGCAAGAGATCAGAATGATTATTTGGAGTGGTTTTTTGCATTATTGTGATACCTCTAAATGTGGATGATGCCTATTAGTGTTTCTGATGAGTTTGTTTCTTCAAATCAAAAAAAGCTGAGCTAGAGGATGTGCATTGTGTTATATATTCAACCATAATTTTCCTGCTGTTTATCTAACTTCTGCATAGGCAATAAGAAAGAGATACGGACAATTGGACATGAGAAATTCAAGACACGTTTTCCTGCTGGATTTTTAGGTCTGCCATATTCCCTGGCCCTAAACTTAGTATCTTTGCATGACGTGCTTTATAGACTTGATAGGGCTTCCAGTAATGAAAAATTTCAAAGCAACTTTGAAAAGGTCTGTCTGACAGAGTGCATTTGTGTAAAGGCTGGGATAAACCCTGGCTGGCAATATTGAAGGAATCTGCCCTGAGTCCTAATGGAGAAGATGGGTTGGGATGACATTCCTCTTCACCTCAAATTTGCATAGTAAAACTTCTCTTGAACCTTCTACACCACCAGGGAGCTGGAGGACAGTATTCTGCATGCATAGCGTGGAGACAGACACTTTGATTTATTCCCTGGAGTCAGTTCCTTGACAAAATAATGAAGTAAATGAATACATTGATGTTCACACCCACTTACATCAGCAATGTCCAGTGTTAAACATTTATTGTTGGCAATAACCACCCATCTGTTTAAGATTTTCTTAGTCTCCTAGGCAGGCTGTGTTGCAAAAAAAAGATTAAATCACTTAGAATATATTTTCTTTTTTTGTTGTTTTGCCTGCTTTAACAAGAGGTTTTAAGTCCCTGCAGTTCAGATTGCTTAGAACTCAGCATTCTTGTAGGGTTAAAAAAAGTGTATGTAGAAAGGTGAATTGTTTGATTAAATGAAATGTGACTTTGTACATATAATAATGCAATCAATTTATGAATGTTTATTCATCTATTATAAAACTGAATTTTCAGAAAAGTATTGAACAGAGTTCTTTTTTAAATTATTATTTATTATAAAGGAGCAACTGTTTTAAGCAGGAATCCTATTTATTTCATATAAAGGTGATTGTAGGAGGGTTAAAGGTAAAAAAAAGCGGAAAAACTGTAGCTGCTTGTAAACATCACTCAAACTATGTCAGCTGAAATGCTCACTATGAACCAATATCCCCAGCTCTACCTCCATTGGCCTTTTCCCAGGCAGAACCAGTCTTTAGGCTTGTTTGCACTAAAGGCCTTTGTTGCAAGGTCTTTCCTAATTGTAACTGAGGACCATGCGTGGCTTGAGGATATTTCTGGTCTTCCATGGTTATATCCAAGTTGGGGCACAAATGGACATCCCTCTTGTGAGTTTTAAGGCTTCAAAGTGTGCATCTATTGCCCTTCGACTGTTGTCACTTGGTCACTCTTTAAGCTGTAGTTCAAGTAAGACATGGTGCAGTGTGTTTCTGTGATGCAAGGAACGTGTATGCAATGCAAAATAATCTTTAAGGACCTTGCGCTGTGTGTGATTCCTGTGTGATGTATTTGAATAACTGGGTCTTGTGTAACGTGCTGGTGATTATTGGATATCTGCCAGTCAGAGCAGCTCCTGTCTTGCATTTATTATTTTAATATTGTATATGGATGTCACAGATAAATATTTCTGAAACTTGTGTGCAGACTAAACATAATTTCTATTCTTCATTCTATGTTTCTAGTCCGGGACTGTGAAGCTGACCAAGCCTGTGGCATTATGGACCCAGCAGGATGTCTGCAAATGGCTGAAGAAACATTGCCCTAATCAGTATCAAATCTACAGTGAGTCATTCAAACAGCATGACATAACTGGTAAAGTATGCACTATCAGAAATATTTCACTTACTTAAAATGTGGCAAATTGTTTTGCTTTGCTGTTAATAGATTGTGACTGTGCACTGAGGGCTTTTTGTTGATTGGATGACTAGAGAGTTGAAAGGTTTAGAGTAGGGGGAATATTCCAGCTTTCTTGGGATGTGGTAAGTGATTTCCCCATCTCTCTAAAACATAAGTTTCACATTATTCAGGGTCAATATAACAAGGAAAGAAGTCAATCTGTATGCAGGTAAAGGCCCCATCCTGTTCATTCCAAATAAATAAAAAAACTCCAAACCCAAACATTAAGAAACATCCTATGGGGAAAAATGTAATTTATGTAAATTTTCTTTTTCATTGAGGTGTTTCACCTTGATTTCATACTCTTCATACTCTTTTTTGTGTCCCCCCCTCCCTTTAAAAAAGAATAAAAATTAACTTTACAGTCCTCAACACGTAGGATGGGAAGGAAGCCGAACTGAGCCCCTCTCTAGGCCTGAAGTAGGATCAATACAGCAAGTTCATTTCTGGCAGATGTTTGTCTAACTTTGTTCTGGAAAATTTACAATGGAGGAGATTTTTGCATCTCTCTGTTCCAATATTTTATGACCTTTAAAGCTGGTATTTCCTAGTATCAATCTACACTATTATTTCCAGCAAACAAAACTGATTCCTGTCCCAAATGTGGCTCAAGTACAACCAACCATTCTTTCTCACAGCCTTTCCTTCCCTGGATAGAGTGCTTCCCAGTTGCACATACTTTCCTTGTCTAGTCTAAAAAATATTTGTTTGTTCTATCATGGTTTCCCCCAAATACATGCAGGACCTCCAAACCTTCAAAACTTGGTGTCTTTTTCTTAAAAGAATGTATTAAAAGCATAGTTGTATTTTATTTTCCTTTTTTCTTTAGAAGTTGATATTGATTTTGTTGATCTGCTTGACTTGTCAACTCCTACTCAGTTTGCTGTAGTTGTCTTTTAGCTGACCACTTTGAACAGACATCAGTTTAGCAAATATAACTTGGAAGTTAAATAGGACTTTTACTCATATACCAGACAGTAATTAATCTGTAAAAAATTTAATGTGGTACACTAATTTGTTCTCTGAAGTGGTAGTATACCAAACTGGGAATTGGAATTCAGATATTTAATGTTAAGCAGAGATTTGAATTTTACATAAAATTTCAGTCTTAACACTAATGCATTGTTAACATTGTGTGTTTCAGTCAGTGTCTGTTTGCATATGTGCACTTGTGTTTCAAATTTTACCTTGATTCCTGTTGCTATTTTCTTCCTGGTAACATATGAATGATTGCAAACATGGCAAACTAAACTGCCAGTATTTGTTTACTATGTAGCCATGAGTACCTATACACACTTACATGTGAGAGCTGGTTTGTACTGGTTTGGTAAGTGTTGAGATTTAGTACATAACCATTGTGCCTATTTCCTATCAGTCACCATCTGCTGAATGCAGTCTGTAGGAATGTAGTCTGTGTCTCCACCCATGTGTACAGAGCTGACTCAATCCAGAGCACTACCAGAAGAAATTGAAGCTATTTTAAAATATTTTCTAATACTGTTTTACTATCATGTTGTCTGTTTCTAGAATTAAGGGAGAAGTTATTTTCATTTCAACATAAACATAGATGGAAACCTTGTAGTTTCCTTGCAGATGTGCAAAACTTTGAACTTTATACATTTCTGTGAAAAAGAAGAATTGAGATCAATCTTTCTTACTTTAGACAAAAGAGGAAAAAGGAAAATATCCATATGAGTCTTAGAAAGTAAATCTACAGGAAAGAAAATAACTTCAATTCAGCAACTATGAAATAAGAAACATGATCGATATTTGTATAGATTTTATAAAAGTATATTGTGATAGTATTATGAGTGAAATCATTAACTCAGGAGGATCTTTCCAGTGCTGTTGGTCCCCATGACTCTGATTATTTGAAATCTAATAAAGGGATAGAACAATGGATTTCTATCTCAGAAAGGAGCATGGAAACTAATATGAAGATGAAGCCAAGATAGTGTAACTGTTCCCAGGTATGGCTACAGAAAAATAATGTGATTTTTGAAAATTTCTCTGGAATTAATATGACTTTACAGGCTATTTTGATATGGAAAAATAGGATGGAAAATAGGATGGAAAAGAACTGGAAGAAAGTTCTTATGAAAAGGATATTTAAACTTTATTTGAAGATGAAATCTAACGCATGGTCATAAGCCAGGAAAATAATCTTGGGCAAACATATCTAACAATTGTTAACCATAGATGTTGAAAAATGTGGCATTTACTTGAGACTGTTAGTTGCTGATTACAGTTTATTGAGTTGGGGACAAAAATGCAACCCAAAATGACCTTTTCTTTGCAGAGATTTTATACCTTTTATTTCTGACAAAGAGCAGCTTCAGATATATAAGAAAAAATGCTTCATCTTGAAACTTACCTAGTAAGAAAAAAAATCTTCATATTAACAGTGATCTTGAGGATGTCATGGGATAGAGTGTACTCTCATCAGATTTGCAGATGACAGCAAATTGGAATTAACAGTCTATAGACTCAAAGAGTAAGGACCATCCATAGAGGTTTAGGCATAGGGACCAGACACAGGCTGGAAGAGTGTGTCAACCTTATGAAATTCAACAAGGACAATTGCAAAGTCTTGCAGCTGGGAAGGCTGAGCCTCTTGCACCCCACTTAGCCTGGGGCTGACTGGCGGAGAAGTGGCTTTGGTGAAAAGGACCCGTGGTCTTGACAGTGAGGAAGATGAAATGAACCAGTGTTGTGCCTTAGCAGCAAAGAATGCTGGCAGAATCATAGGCACTGTTAACAGGAACATAGTCCTGATCCAACACAGTCATTATTCCCTTTTACTCTGCATTTTTTAGACTACAGTCCTTGGATCTCCAGTGCAAGTTAAGGTGAGGACCAACAAGATGCTCAGGGCTGGAGCACTTGCCCTGTGACCATTGAGGCAACTATCAGTTAGACAATAGGGCATGGTCTTAAGCTCTGCCAGGGGAGGTTTAGGTTAGATATTAGGAAGAAATTCTTTACAGAGAGGGAAATCAGACACTGGAATGGGCTACCCAGGGAAGTGGTGGATTCTCTGTCCCTGGAGGTTTTTAAGATGAGACTGGATGTGGCACTTAGTGCCATGGTCTAGTAACCATGGCAGTAGTGGATCAAGGGTTGGACTTGATGATCCCTTCCAACCCGGCTGATTCTATGATTCTATGAGGGAGCTGGGCTTGTTCAGTCTGGGGAAGAGGCAGCTTGCCAGGGTGGGATGGGGGGACTGGCAGCAGCCCCCAGTGTGTAGAAGAAGGTTGTCAAAAACATAGAACCTGACCCTTCGCAGTGATATGTGAGAGACACCAGACTTGAGCTGAAACAAGAGGCTGAGCCTGAACATCAGGAGAAACTTTTTCCCCATGAGAACAGTCAAGCATTGGAACAGGTTGCTCAGTTTCTGTCCTGGGAAGGTTTCAAGCCCTAGCTAGATAAAACCTTGAGAAACCTGATCTGATCGCATAGCTGACCTTGTTTTAAGAAGGCAGTTGGGCCAGAAATCTGCTGGGGTCCTTTCCCATCTAAATTCTTCTGTGGTCCCTTCCCATCTAAATTCTTCCGTGGTCCTATGATTTGCTGAGTACTTGCTGAGTACCTCAGAACCAGTGAAATGCATTTTGCAGCCAGTTAGGCATAATTAAATATGGAAAGATCTAATAAGAAATGGGCAGATTTCTTATATATCCAAGCATATAACATGCTTGGATTCAGGGAGTAGAACATTTGGTTGTCTTATTCAGCAACAGGTCAGAAGTACTCTTCATGGTGTTGGACCCAGAGAAAGAACCAAAATAATTTGAAGGAGTAATGCTGAGTGAGATCTAAGGGCATTTGATAGGAATTAGCAGTGATGGGAAAAATAAGACTGTGAAAAGGGAGGAACAAAGATGACAGTGGCCTGTACAACCAAGAAGGCAATGTCATGGTAGGGCCATGTCACTGGAAGCTCTATAGCTGGTGTTGGAGTTTACACCAGTAGGAGGAGAAATAAAAAGTTGCACTGATTTGCCAGTGTTTCACACTGATTTTATACTAATGAGTTCCAGGGGATAAACCCGAAAAAGGAGCTTACTTTGTTTGCATTTGTGGCTTTGAATTTGCTGGGCAGCAATGCTTTTAAATGACTGGGGAGTTCTAGAGAGATGGGTTGTTCTTTAATGGTCTTATTCTGTACCATTGGAACAAATGAAGATTTTTGCAATGTCTCACAATTAACAGAAACAAGACTGGGCATAGAATGACCAAGGAATAACCATTTTGGGGCAAATGATCCATTGACAAAGTAATAAAGATGATGTCTAAGGAACGGCTTATGGATGTGTACTGGAAGGGAGGAAAGGGAAGGGAAAGTAGGAAAGGAAGGGAGGGAAGGAGAAAAGGAGGGAGGAAGGAAGGAAACCTTGCTTCACCTTTTATTTCTACACCATGTTCCCCAGTGTGCTACTGCATGTCTTCAGAGCACGAGGTTTTAATGCTATGATCATTAAACAAACCTCATTCTGTCAGAGTAATACCCAAGAGGTACTTCGGTCCAATTGAAAGAATTTGATAGGAGGTACTTGAAAGGACTCAAACCTTTTTAAATTAAACTTTTAAGGAGGAAAGGAACAGGACTCAAGAAAACCTCATTTTAGTTTTAGAAGGGGCCAGAACTTCTGAATAACCATTAAATACCAAACAGCAGCTCAGAAAGTGAAATATGAACTGCTACTGAAAATCTGCTGCAAATAGTCTTAAAATCTGGCTAATTCTATAACCTCTAAAGATGCTTGCATTAAATCAGCTTTATTGACATATTTTTATGAAATTTATATAAAATCATGCTTTTAAAATCTTGATTGATTAATTTTTTTCACTTCAGTAATATCTTTGTAGATGTTAGAGTTTATCATATCAGATAGAATGCTCAAGTTATT